TATATATATATAAAATATATATAAAATGATCAACAGTGACTCAACTATAAACAAGGTTTAACATGTCTGTTTCTTCAGAGACAAAGGGAAGTGCATACAAGTGCATACAGAGTGCATACAAGAAGAGAGGCAGAAAATAAAGTATTTAAAAAAAAAGACTCATTATTTCTGCAATGCTTTCACTGACTTTTTCCAAACGGATGTTGCCGTTTCTGAAAAGCCACAGTGCTAGGGCACATAGATCTTAAAAGCAAATGACAGCTTACACTGGGAGTCACTCCAAGACTTTCTTCTTACGGAATAGCCAGTTGGAACATTAATATTCTAAACTAATCAAATGATAGGAACAATCAGTCATGCCAAAGTATGGAATTTAATGGACTACAGTTCTAACATTATCCAGAAAATGTACGTATTTTGAACTGTAATATCAAATAGAAAGCTCAGTAGGTGCAACATTCCAGAGAGCAGAATTGGCTTTAGGGGGCACTTAAAAAAAAAAAAAAAAAAAAAAGGGGAGGGGGGAGAAGAAAAAGAGAAAATTATGCAATGTATGAAGAATTTGCTGAACCATTCATTAATAACCAAATACACTTTCTATCAACACAGACCTAGGTTCAGTTAAGCAACCTACTATACTTTGTTTTATGTCCCAGTTATTATTCTGATGACAGGAGTGAAATAGAAAGTATGTGGAAATCAGAAAGGTTGTGGATACTAAATGTGTATATACGACTTTCAAAGCAACAGCCTGTACTTACGTGTAGAACATTGACATTCAGCTGCTGAAAATGACGGGACCTGAACTCTTGCATTCTTTTCATATTTTCTTGGTATTTTTCTTCTGCCAATTGCCTGTAAAGACAGATTGCTTGTATGCAGGATGTGATGTCAGGGATTGCACAGAGGGATGCTTTCAAGTATACATGGACAAGAAAACTCCATATCAGAACTACCACGGTGCCAAACCCTCCAAGCATCTTCTCAAGTGGTGGTTTGTCTCTGCACACCCATAGACAGAATTTGGGCCTTAGTTTGCAAACAGTTTCATACGTACCTTTCACACTTTGTACAATATCCCCGAAAAAAAAAGCAAATTAGTAGTCCCTGGCTCTTTTGCTCCTCCCAAAGATCTTAAATACTTTGAGCTGGGTTTCACCATGTCAGCAAGGAAACTCTCAGCTTAGGAAAGACATGTAGCATTTACACACTTTACACACATTTCACAGAGGGGAGAAGGTGAAACTGTCTTTGCTTGATCCAGGTACTACATCAAGCAAGTCTTCCAGTTCCCTGCCATCCCTGTCTAGAGCTGCACTGATCTCTGGTTCGAGAAAGTTTTGCTTTCATAGAAATACTTCCAGGCAGAGTCCCTTGGCAATAATGGCAATAAGCCTGAGCTGAATCACCTGTGTTAAAGATTCAGGACTGAGAATAAGATTTGAAGATTAACATGCTGCCTTTCTGTTACAGGATATATTTGATTTTGTCACTAGGGGGGAAAAACATAAAAATCTAAGTAGGAAAGAAATGATGAAATTTAAGAAATCAAAAAAAGTAAAAGCAAGCAAAATATCCTGCAATTACTATTACTTGCAAATCTCTACCCATAAAAAAGAAGGGGGAGGAGTGGGCTTCCTATTTATAAACTTCATATAATTATAAAAATTGGCCTAGTTAAACATATTCTTGAAAACATCATGCAGAAAGGTTACATTCAAATATTTGTTATATGGTGTTACTTTTTTTTTAAGTGAGGATTATCATACTTATCCATTTTTAAATACAATTTTTTCTCCAGTGCAATGGTAAATGTTGGTTAGGCATAAAGGCTGCCAGACGTGTCCCAAAAGGAAATCAAGACTTGATTTTTTTGTTGTCATCTTACTTGTAGCTACAAGTAAAACTGGTTACTGATTTCACAGAGCTCTTCTGCTCTTCTGCTATTACTGTTCACGCACATTCTTCCTAAGCTGGATGGGAGAGCTATTTTGCAGCTGTTGGAAGGGAGGCAGGGCAGAAGGACAGTTCAGGAGGGATATAGGTAGCTGCAGTTACGGAGGCCTCATGCAACCTCACACTGTTGTTTGTAAAGGGAGGCCATGGCCACATCGCACCGAGGGCTTGTTTCAGCGTGACAAGCTCACAGTGTAGATCGTCTTCATCAGAAATGGTCATTCCCTCTATTATACAGCTATAAATCATTGGATAAACATTGGACAATGCACACTGCCCTCTGAACAATGGTTTTGAGGCAATCATTAAAATGAATTAATGTGGCACTTTTCTGTTGTTTCTTGTGGGTCATCAAAATAGAATATTCTTTTTATTTTAAAACAGAATTGAGGCATGTGCTCATTGGTTTCAAACTATTTCTCAGGTTTGACTCAGAAATGGTACTTACTCTCCTTTAAATCCTCCCCCTTTTCTTATGTCTCACTTACTTAAGAAAAAACTATAAATCATAAAGGCTTTATAAGATGTTCACTACCCCTGCATTTGGTCATTTGATAAGGCTATTCTCTGAGCTATTAACTTTTATTGGCAAATTTCTTAGGTTAAAATAATTGAAGACGAAAAAAGTAGATTTTGACCAAATACCTAGCTTCACTCAACATGTACTCCTATAAAAAATAAAAATAAAGTCCTACAGTAAGGATTTGAACACTTTTCATACCTTATTTAACAAGAATTGCCAGTATCAAAGTATCAGTTTTGGGCTAATGCTCTGACTCTTCCTTTTAAGCAAATAATTACTGATTTAAAAACCCATCATTTTCATTCACTTTGAGTACCTGAATCACCTTCCTTTTTTTTTTTTTTTGTTCCATCTTAATTGCCATAATTTTCTCATAAAACTGCCATAAGGGGAAAAACTGCCTGGCGAGGACACAATGCTAACGGGATGCACAGCTTACTTGAGCTTCCTCGCTTTCTCGTCCGCGGCGTTTAACTTCCTCAGCCGCATTCGCTCCCGCGGCGTCATCCTCTGCACTTCCGAGCGCTCCCGCAGCGTTTGCAAATGGACTTTCCTCTGCCTGGAATTGAATGCAGGCAAGCCCGTCCTTACACACACAGCTAAAAATCGAGATTTGAATAGTGAAACATACTGACATTTAAAATGAAATAATCAAAAAGTCACTCCAGGTACTAAAAGAGACTACGTAGACCTTTGTTCCCAAAGCAAGTGCCTCTCTTAAACTGAAATATTTATACTTCAATTCATGAAGAATGTGAAGCATTTCAGCATTTCATGTGAGTAGGGAAAAGGCAAACTGAGTTCCTTAAAAGATTAAATGTTGAAGCACATTGAAATATTTACCTTTTCTGGCTTTGTTAGTCAGCATGTCCCATCTAAAAATAGTCTTTAACTTAAATGAAAAACACTGAAAAAGTAGTATCAATTATAACTTTTAACAAACAACATAAAATTTATCTAGAATAAAAGAGAATTTAAAGGGCCTTTAATTAAAATTATAATAATCCTGCTCTCCCCTTGAATTTCTGGTCTTAATGAAGAGTAACACAATTCACCAGTTAGATGTTCTCTATAGACCAGCCCTGAAAGTTGAGCATGAATTATTGACATATGTATCTCATTTGTGTTTATCAACATGGAAGAGCAACATTTGTTCTAGGAAATAAAATCTGAGATCAATATCATGACCTACAGTGATTACACAAATTAAACTGTAGTTTGCAATACCTTGACAGTCCTGTTTGACTTATGCCAAAATTCTGGCTTTTATACTTTTATGATATCAAGTATGAATTTCAAATAGCTATTTTTGCTCTTATGAGATAATTTCTCTTCTGATCATCTAAGAGTCCACTTTTGCAACCAAATAAATTGCAAAGCTCCTTGTGGATTATCACATTGAAATCTGGATTTTAATAACATGAGAAGCGAAGTGTTCGCTATCCTTTTCAAATGCTGGCTATAGAGGGGAACAGTGAAATATGACAGATTAAGGACAAAGACAAGCACATTTCAATTATTAATCAGAATGGAACTAACCCTTCAAGTATAAATAAGGTAGACCTATTTCCTGTGCCTTGGAACAAACTCCAGTTCAAATCATTAGAACCTCTAGGGGGAAAAAGTCATTTTTCTTCCAGGATGAAACTGAATTTATACAGTTTTATGCTTTCTTAAATATTTAAAATTTATGGCTTGCATGGCACTGGAATAAACTAAACCACTAGAAGCTTTTATTAGAAGAATCTACACTCAACTAAACACAACTAAATTAGAAAATTCCTTATGACAAAAAATAAAAATAAAAAAGAACAATAGATGCAAAGCAGCAATGACTGGGGAGGACACCACTCAGACTGTCCATACTCAGACTGCTACTTCCTTTCTTTTCTGAATGGCATCACTTTTCAGGTATTTTGACTTCATTTTATCTACTTCTTCAGAACTTGAATGGCAAAAATACTTTGGCATTTTGCTTACCACTAGCTATAGAGGCAGACAACATTTTACAAATGTAATGAAAGTATAAGAACGTGATGTTTGTAGTTAAAACCTGTCCTTCACCCCTAATATTATGGACTTTCTTTTGAACAGGCACAAGAGTAGTTACAGACCCTGGGATATGCACTTAGGTCCTCCCTGTTTATCTGTTCTGGAAGCATATGGCTGTCTGATGTCTAAGTATACATTTGGCAGGTAAAATGTGGATTTCTCAATGTATCCATAGTCTTTTGGTACATACAGATAATCTGAATCCCGTACAGATTATAAATGAAAAGCCAAAAAATAAACACAGTCATTAAAAGGTCCTTAATGATTCCGAAACTTCATGCTTTAAAAAGCATGTAATATTCAATATGATTCAGATAGAGTTAGCATAATTTGGGGGTTAGATTTCAATGCCCTGGAACTATTTAAGATGTATCCCTGAGGAACACCACTTTGGTATCAAATGATACCTATATATCATTTGAAGAGGCAGAAATTCACTCAGAGTTGATTGAATCGATCTGAATACAGAAGCAACGGGCATAAGGGATGTCTAATATTTCATGATTATTATTCATTATACACCTATCTCACTGATGTGTTTCCAGTATAATAGCAAAGCGCTACTCCTAGCAGAGCAACAACAGCAGAATAGGAAGTAGGCCAAAACTGGACAGCAATTTCCATGGTCTCCATTTGCTGCTGTTTATTAGATAGCTGCTCTTGGGCAGTATAGGCGTCACTTATTACTGCCTTTTACTCCACTTCCAATTATCACCAGCCTGTTTCATACTAAAGGGGAAAGGCAAACCAAGGCCTGATGAGAAGACATAGACTCCTCTGGTCAGAGAGGGTGAGAACAGGATCCATATGGTGGCAACCTGCACCTCAATTTCTAGCAATGCTTTACATATACAACCGAGGACTTGCACTGGGTGAAAGACACGCATAAGGCCTCACTGCATTGAATTCCTCTGCCTTTATTTGGCTCTTTTCCTATTGCTATGTGGAATAATACTTTTTTGAAAAACTAATGCCAGTTGCAAGCCTCAAAATAGTGCTTGTTCAGTAGCACCTGCAGTGGGGCCATGGACGTAAAGCCGCCAGCCTACCCCAACAGAGCTCACAAAACGCAAGGCAGGAGGCCTCTCACCTCAAAAGGGATCAACGGTACCAGCAGTGCCGAACAGTAGCAACACGGGCTTCATTTATTCTCTGAAGTTTGTTTCAATGTATTAGATAACAGTGATAAATTATTGACAAGCACTCAGAGGCAAGCAAGAGACTGAGATGACTGTTACTTCTACGTAGGATGAAGCGTCACGAATGTCTGATTTTGAACGTGCCATCTCTTCACAGTGAAAACTCAGGGACAGGAAGCAAAGGAAAACACCAGCTCCAATTGAAAGTGCAGGAATAATTTACAAAGGCAGAAGGAAATTGCCTGTGTTGATACTTGCTTTAATCATTGCAGCATTGTATCTGAATACAACTCAGTAGTATGTGCAGAGGCACTACCAATGCGCGATCCAAAAAAAATCACTAATGTTAATCTCTCAGGATAGCTACAAGACAAATATGATGATATTCTATATACATACAATGACATGATGATGATATAATGATAGTATCTTAATATTAGTTTAAATGCATATACTTTAATTTTGACATCATTTAGCAGCTATACATTTCAAATTAAGTTATTACTAGGTACCTAAATAACAGAGTTAGAAATTTTCATGACATAACTAAAATTATGATCTTAGCCTTCAAAATATGAAGAGGTTAGGTCATAATTTAATTACATACCAATTAGTATTAATACATGCATATACCATATATTCATGCACAGTTTACACAATTACATAACAAAAATTTGGCTTTTAAAATGACTTTTTAACCCTAAAACTTAATTATGTATCTCATTAGTGTAGTCATCCTTCTGCATATGCAGCTTTGGAGAACAGGTCCCTAAAAAATATAGCACTATGAAATTAATACAAATAAATGCTTACAACATGAGTGCATTTGGAAACACTGTAATTCTATATACTACTGCCCACTTAAAACACTTAAAAATACTTACACAGCATCAACAATGTGAGCGGCTTCTTTCTGCCAGTGAAGGGCTTCATTTTCCACAGCCATATGTGTGACTTTGTATTGCATATTCTGAAAAAAAAAAAAATAGAAGCAGATCCAATAGCTAGGAGTAAGACAATCCAGCCTTTCCACCTATGATCCAATACAGTCCTAAGGCAGACTGATTTAGCAGTTTTCTATCCCAACTCCTTAGAAAGCCAAATAGTATATATGCTAAGTCAGGCACCTAAAGTACAAGGCACACCGTTTTTCCTTGAAACTATGACTAACCAGAATAGTTTTGAACCAAACCCAAATGATCTACATGTGTTACAAGTAAGTGCCTACTGCCTTTATTACGCATAAATTTTCAAAGTGGACACACGCAGCACATGAAGTGACATGGACTTCATTTCTCACTGCCTCCCTACCTCAGTTGTGTTGCATTTTAGCTCTGGAACTCCCATAGATTGCAGTTTCCGTGGATTTCTGTCAACTTACTTTTTGTCAACACCTTTTTTTTCCCTGCCTCCATTTCACTGCTACAAAATGCATATTCAAATGGTAAGCGTACAGCTATGGCTCTGTTGTCTTATATACCTTCAGTTGTTCATCAATATAAGGGATTTTTAGAATCTCTGCTGCTGCTGGTCTCATGGAAGGATTCTTACTTAGCATGCTGAAATATTAAAAGAAAAAAAAAAGTGATAATTCAATAATCTTCCAAATTAATTTAGAAAACTGCTAAACAATAAAACAGCATACCTATTCAGCACAGCATTCAGTTTCCTTGGATATCTGTCAGGAAGAGAAGGTGTGTCACCTTCTACAATTTTTAATACCACAGACAAAAAATTGTGGCCACTAAATGCATGGTTCATACAGCACATCTCATATAAAATGCATCCCAGAGACCTGAAGAACAAAATAATGGGAATACTGTTGGTAACATTATTGAAAATAGCATGCATGATGACATCACAGTACATAAAAATCACAATATCTGCAGCTAGCCATATTGTATACTCTTCTGAGAATAGGATATTTCAGTACCATGCTGTGCTTTTCATCTGAAATATTTTTATTCACATCACAGGTTATGTTTAAAATCAGGAGTAATCATCATTCTATTTTCATAAATGCAGGAGTAAACTTTTCAATATAAATATACACACATACCCTTGTTCATATATATGTGAAGACATATGTTTGTGTGTGTGTGTGTGTGTGTGTAAACTCCTACTGTATGAATCAACTTGTTTTTACTCATTAAGTTAAATACGAAACATTCTAATTAGTGACTGACTGAGAAAGCGGTTTAGCAATTTTTACACATAAATTTGTTCAAATTGGTTTTGCAAATTATTTTTTGACAGCAGAGCGAGGCTAAAATTCAAATTAAATGATTAAATGATGGCAGTTTTAAATAATAGAAATGTTTCCATGCACAATTTCAGCCATGACCACACATTCAAATTAGACTAGGCAGGGGGGTGGGGAGAATCAGTTTGGATTCAAGGTAGTACCAAGTTTAGATTATGGTTTCCTGTTGAAACATCAAAATTTCCTTGAAAATGTATTTGGAGAAAAAAGGAAGAAAACTGGACATTTAGGTCTTCAGACCTAATTGAGAACTCGTCCCAGTTTTAACCCACCAGAAACCAGGATGAAGGAGCACAAGCAGAATATTTAAAAGGGGCCTTTGGTTTGCCATCATCCTCCTTACCAGGTTCTTTCTCTTTAATACTAAAGGAGACCATAGATGATCACCAAACAGAACATTTTCACATAAATACCCTCATAATAATTTATGCAATGATTATTCATAACAGCTTGCACTTCAGCTGCTTCCTGAGAAATGTACTGAAAACAACAACAAAACCAGGGGAATTAAATGGGATTAATTTTTACAGGCTTTGAAGCATACCCAGTATTACCTTCATTTTACAGACCACAGAACCGTAACATTGATGAAGGCCTTGACCAAGGCTATGAAAAAAGGTCAGCAGGATTGCTAACTACAGGATCTAAATCACCTTAGTGACCAGCTTAAAAATGAGAGCAGCTTTACTCTTAAAGTTGTACTTGATTGTGGTATTCCCAATTTAAAGTAGTATGAGAATAAAGCATACTAAAAATGAGCTGAAGTATGTATAGGTAGATGGCTTTTTTTCCTTTTTCTATTTTTTTTAAAGGTATGGACCTGTTTTTGAAAGCAAACTACAAATAAAATCCCAATTTTGTTGTTGCTGCTGCTGTTAAAGACAAAGGATAAATTAAATCCCTCTGGCAGCAAAAGAACAAGAACAAATAGTTTTAAAGCCGAAAGCCACTATCTACATACAAAACAAATAAGGAGGGAACAGACTAGGAGGGGGGTCTCTCACTGGTACCTTTTAAAGCGGTGTCTGCAAACAATTAGCACTTGCTAACAACTGCATAAGGACCAGCTGCAGAGGAACTTAAATAATTGCCCAGTTTTTATAAGATTTGATGATCTACTAACTTTTTTATTTCCAAAGTCAGTAAACAGTATCCTAGTGGCAATAATATATATTTATAGGAGAACTACATAGGCTGAGACTCTGCAACAAGACAGCCCTTACTTAGAACAAACTTTGAAAAAAAATACACACATAGCATCCAAATGTGTCAGATAAAAACGAGAGGCAGGGAGAGGGAAAGAAGAAAAAAAACAGAAGGGAAAATCCCAAGCTGACAGACTGTACTGCAACTGCCTTTTGCAAAATCAATCTGCTTTGCAGGCTGCCTGATTGTGGCAGCGAGAAATTGCGGGCAGAGCCATTAGGGACCCAGGATTTGCCACCTCAGGGAAGCCCATTCAGGCAGCTGGTTTCGTGCTCCGACTCCACCTGCGGCTCCGGAGAAGGACGGCAAAGCTGCCAGGGCTGCCCCAGGAGCACCCGGCTGCGCCTTGGAAGACAAGTGAAGAAAGAAAGAAAAAAAGAAAAGGAGAAAAAGCAACAGAAATAAAAAGAAGCTTTTACTGCAGGATACCGCTCTTTGAACTGAAGTAAGTATCTCCAAAGCCGGGAATTGTTGCCCTGGCTGCTGGAACAGGGTCATTTCTTCCCAGGATGGCTGTTGGGCTGTAGCTGCCCAAAGGAGCCACCTCCAAGATTTTTTCTCAAGAAGTCGCTTTGCTGAGCAGCCCAGTGTCTACAGCTCCAGGCTAAGCATGGGGTAGAAAAATATACACAGCAGGGGGAAATGCTTCCTGATTTCCATTAGCAATCTTTTTATGACCCCAAACATATAATTTTCTTGCCTTTTAAAATAATCTTATTTTGGATAAATGCCAATGTTATAATTTTTTTTATAATTTTATTTGAAACTGTCATAAAAATACGAGCCAGAGCATTTGGTTTGCCGACTTCCAGTGTTTGTGCATAGGCTTGGCCATGGTGGTAAGCAGCACGTGGTTTCAGCAAAGCTGACGTGCTCATTTCACAGCAAAGCCACTGGTGCTCAGTTACAGCAAACAAAGGAGAGTCTGGCCAGGTGTCACTATATTTTTTACATCAGCTGACCTTCCTCTAAGTTCTCCCTGATGTTTTTGGTCTTACTTCTTTACATAATATTGCTGTATTTTTAACATCTTCAGTCTTTTGTAGATCTCCCCTATGTTACAGTCTTTAAAGGCTGAAAGATCAAAATTAGCTTTTTAATCAACCTCTGAAAAAAAAAGATGGTGTGAAGGCATATACATTGGTGGCAGTATCTTTGAGGGTAGTTGTACCAGACAAACTCCGCTGTCCCTAGACCCTCCAAGGGGTCTGTACCTGCACATACAGTCGCAGCTGGTACGGCTCCTCTGCTGCCTTTCTGGTCCCCATGGCAGGGATTCTTCCTCTGCAGTTGTACGGTGCTTCTCTTTAATCCTCCTGGAACATCTCTGGGGTCTTTCTAATGGGGACTAGTAGATCTGAACTGCAAGGCTCAGCAAGCTAATAGATGGAAGGGCATATATGGATGCCCATATCAATTAGTTCCCCTGGGGCTTTTTGAAGGAAGGGAACAAAGGGTCAACGCACCCCCAAAATGCACAAGATTTTAAAATAATGCCATGTGCTTGACGGATATTTCCACTAACTCATCCCCAATGACTCTAAGGTCTTTTCTCTCAGAGAGTTCTTAAGGCTGAACATAGAGCAGCTTTTATAAAAAACACAGATTACAGTACTGTTACTTTTATGAGAGTTACATTTTGTTTTCCATTATGCTGGCTAAGCATCTCTCCAGTTCTTTAAAGATTTTTAGTTTCTCAAGATCCCTGTAGCTTTTATCAGCCATTTCCAAACATGCAGCCATTAACATTTAATTAATCATCTAAAGATTTATGGATCTCCCGAATTCACATGTACTGCTTAAAGCACCTTAGAAATTGAGTACCAAAGCCTCTTTGCAGCGTTAGCCATTCATCTAGTCAATAAACAGTATTTTATATGCTAGCAGAAATCTTCTGTGTTTCTCAAAAAGTAGGTGGATTTAGAATTAGCAACAGAGCATTTATATTATGCTAACAAATAAGTCTCCTTTCACTGTAAAATCCCATCCCAAAATTTTCCTTTACACAAGTTAGATTCAGTCACAACCTCAAACACTGAGGAGACTCTTATTAGTTATGTAGATTTCTTTTTTTTTCTAGCGGGGGGGTTGTTCTTTAAAAATATTTTTGGATGAAAACAGTGGATCAGACTTGACCCCTATTACAATTCAATGTAATGTAATCCTACTAAAACTGTTCAAGATATGTGGAAAATAGGTCTCCCATCACTGATGAATGCAGATGGAGTCTCACCGGTGTATTATCAAGAAAGTAATCAGAGATCCAGTGGGATTACATGAAAGTCCCCCAACACAGTAACAATTCTAGTCAGTTTGCTTTTATTCCAGCCCATACGGTGACTAAAAATCGTAATTCTAGCCCAAACAGACATAGGTTGTGTGAAGAAAATGAAAAGCGTTATCTTCCAGAGGACGGTAATCTAAATCTTTCCTGAAAAAGTTCCTTAAAATGACTCATTCTGTCTTCAGTTTGCTTAAAACACGATGCAGCACCACAGCTCCAGGTGTCAGGGAACACCAGCCAACACCAAACAGCAGCGCCTGTCCTACTCAGTGTAGGTTACTGCTTTGGAAACACAAATGAACAAAATACAAAGCTACCAGCTAGTGGCCTCTTTTGTGGGGCTTTTTTTTTCTGCTATATTGTAAATTTAAAATTTAAAAGGTCTATAAAAATACTGCACCAATTTCTGCTGTTATTTACTCTCTATAACTTGTATGGATTGAGACCTGTAATTATGAATAGAACTTAACCACATTCTTTACATCCAATTTTAACTGCAATAAAAGGAAATCACCCCTTTCAGCAACTAAACACAAAAGGAAGGCTTCTCTGCCTGTTCACTAATTCTCACATCACTTGCAATCTCCTCTCAATATATTTTTATTGACTATATGTATTTGTTTCGATACAGCTGAACAGGACAGAATCTTACACTAAATCTGTTAGTTTCACTATAGGGAGTGTGAGACAAAATTCTAGGCTCATCTGTTGACTGGATTGAACCTGTTAACTGTAAAAAAATGGTTGTTACAAGTTAAAACTGGCTACTGTTATTTTCTCAACTTTTACACTTATACCGTGCACATGAAAGTACATTTTGAAAACACAGAATGAAGTGAAATCGTGATTAAATCATCAAGTAAACGAACTACATTCCTGTGGTTAAAGGCTTTATGACAGAAATTTCCATATTTGAAATACAACAAAAAGGAACCTGCACACCCTAAGTTTTCCTAGTCTTTCAACAGATACCAGGCTCTCAGTTTGAGTCTTGAGCCAACATCTCAGGAAGTCCTGATCTCCAGGATTTTTCTTATCACATGAATGCAGGATAAATACTTCATTTTCTTCCTCAGGCACCTGCCCTTAAGCCTTCTCTAAAGCTGGCATCATTTTGCTTCTAGCACTTTCCAAGATCTTCCAATTGAGTTCCTAAGAAGCTCTTTCTGATTCCCTCTCATCTTAGAATCACTATTTTCTCATGTGCTTGACAGCTTCACAGAGAGTTTCTTGTTTTCATTCATATTTGCCAATAAGAAAAAGATTTCCTTCTTCCTAGAAAAACATGGACTGAGTTCACAGTCACCCAGGGTCATGGCACAAAAAAGTGCTGAATCCTCCTCTCCTTTGAGGGCTCAGATAAAGCAGGAAACTCCATGCTTCTTATCACAAACGCCAAACCTTTGAATTGTAACATATAACAGAAATTTCCTGGAACAGTCTTAATGGAGAACTGCAAGCACCCTACTGAAGACGACCTGCTTCCTTTTACATTAAAATCTTTTTTTTTTAAAAAAAAGTAATTTCCTAAATACAGCAAATGGTGACTTAACAAATGCCATTTTATCTAATCTTCCTTTTGATCAAACAAATATCACACTGACTACTCACCAAATGTCAGATTTTGTGTTATATCCCTGGTGCTTCAGCGCCTCTGGGCTCATGTAGTATGGTGTCCCAGTAAATGTAGTCGCAAGGTCACATGAACCCATCAAGAGACAGGAAACTCCAAAGTCCCCTAATGATAACAACAGAAAGGCCCCACAAAAATTTAACAAGAGACTAAAATTAATACAAAAAACTTAAAGGCTATTATCAGTTTCATGTACATTTATGTTCGCATTTTTTTTAATTAGAAATCATATACTCAGCTGGTAAAAACTGTCAAAAATTCTTACAAGCATGTACATCTGGCAGGTTTTTTTTTGGGTTTTTTTGCGTTTTTTTTTTTGCAAATGTCTGACATGCTGCCCCACATCCACTCAACAGCCATTTCAAAGAAAGAGAGGATTAATTAGTCTTTACTCAACTCTGCTTATATTACATGCCATTTTTATTTTTAGACATAGTAGAATAATAGTCCCTGAAAATAATTTGGCAGAATTTTAAAATATGGAAAAATCATTTTTCTGTAATTCTTAAAAACATCACAAAATTATAGAACTATACAATACTGTAGATTTGAAGGGGCACTGCAGGTGATCTGATTCAAAACCCTCAAAGCAGGACCAGCTTCAAAGTTGCATGAGGGCAACCTCAGGTCCATGTCCAGCTGCGTTCCGAGTATCCCTGTGTTGGAAAACCTACAGCCTTTCTGGCCCCTTTTTCTTGTGTCCGAGTATCATACACACGTTTGACAAGAAATCAAAAGGCTTTATGTGATATCCCCCTACCTAAATCTTCTTATTCACAATATTTATGCTAGACTGTTCTACCACACTAAAATATGTCTTTAAAAGTAAGGAAATCTTACCAATTTTAAGAAAATTATTTTTCAAAAATATATTCTTTGCTTTCAAATCTCTGTGAAGTATTCGCCTGGAAAATAAAAGGAAATTCAGCCTCATCAAACTTGAAGGATTCAGTCAAGTATCAAATATCTCAAACATCTCTCCAGTTTGAATTCCTATTAGCAAGGCCTGCGTTCCTTATTATTAAAGCCTGACCCGTCAGCGGCAGACAGTGGCACTGAGGAGCTCCACAGAAACACAGAGGTGCATCCGTAGATATCTGTCCTCAGGCAGGAAGAATGCCTGAGCAGCCAGGATAATAAAATTGTGCCTAAGGATCTCAGTTGGAGAACAGTGATAAAGACTTAACGTGAGCTGCAGTAGAAGGCAGAAAAGAGACTTGCACTGTCTTTCACGCTGGCTCTTCTTAAAAGCAGTACATCCTGTTTTCAGCCCAAAGAAAGAGATGTCTCACAATAGGATAAGGGATGGGGAAATTAGCAATAAGGTCCTCAAAGCTCAGAGAACTCCCCTTTGGAGAAAATGTATTTCTTGAAAGAGCAATATGTATGTAGGCATGGCTATTAGTTTGAAATGCTACAGTAATGGCCTGGGGGCTTACTTGTAGAGAAACAAATGCTACATGGACCAGAGATCAAAAGGAAAGGAAAGAAAAAACAACAAACCAACCAGCTTATTCTTCCATGAAGGACTGAAGCAACGTTATAAACCACACACTGTGCTGGGACAAACAGCAGTTTCTTGAAATCTTTATGCGTGACACTACTTCCCTTTACCATTGATAAAATAACTCTACTGTATACAAAACATTCTCAGTTAATTCTTCTTAATAACACTTCCAAGAGGGTTTCCTACACCCTCATCTCAACTTAAACTCATCCACCTTTGACTCCCTTAGAGCACAGCATTAGTTATCAGCTCTAATCGAGAGGAAGTCAGAACAAGGGCACTGGGGATGTTCCAGTGAGCAGCACTGTTGTTTATTAGTAGAAATATAGTAGTTCCCCAGCCATTCGGAACAGATCAAAAAAGCAAGAGAGGCACTAGGATTCCTGAAATGCAAGCAGAGATATTCAATATGGTAACAGATTATAATTGTTCTTCAACAATCCAGAAGTCTTTTTTTTTCTCAAATTTTATGGAATTAATACATTTGTATGCATTAAGATACAGAAATGTTTTCCAAAGAGTTTCCATAATAAGACTAGAAGAAAATACTTCGTCTTGAATGAAATGAGTTTTTATTGCAACTATTTTTTGCAGTTTTTGTGAAAGTAATTACTTGAAAGCAATGCTTTTAGAAAGAGATATTTGGCTGCATATTGGGAAATATTAAAGTTTTATTTAATGTGCCTCTACTGATGTTTATAAATAACATTTTCTTTATTTGGTAGCTTTCTAGACCAATACATGTATATTCATCATACATTACATTTAATAAGGAAATTAAGCAGTTAGCCATTATTATTTAATAAGTTTTCTATTTATGTATATATATATATACACACTTATTTTATATAAATCTTGATCTGTTACTTTAGATTCATAAAAATCTTTCCTTACCATACCTGGCACAGAACCTTTGAAAGACCTTGATTTCACTGAACAAGATTCTTCTCATGTATTGTTGTGTTGATAGTTTAAAATCTTTTTTTCTCAATTTTGTAGAAATTTGTATATAAGAGTGCACCATTTTCTGAATCTAACAATTTGTTAAATATCTGTGGTCTGAATAAGAGATCTCTTAATCTCTTAACCTACTTATCCAGTAGGTTAATTTTTTGTAACTTACTACTTGAAAACGAATAAAGAGAAGATACTTTGGTCACAATAGTGTTTCCAATAACTATAAGGTACTCCAATGAATTAATAAGGCTAAGAAATATTGGATGGTATAATATTTAAACAGATAAAATAAAAAGTAAAGGTTATTTAAGCGGACATAATTGGATATACAAGACATCACTCAAAGTGGGTCTGAAAAACCTCTCAATGCTGCTTTTTCTGGATAGCAGCTCCCTTATTTTGCTAGAATATGTTACAAGGCAAACAAGTGACAAGCTGAAACCTTACCTGAAAATAGCCAAAGAGAGATTCATAATGGTGACATCAGTTAACTGGACCCTATCAAAACTTAATCTAACTTGACAGGCAGCAAAATGGTTATTGATATTTTGGATGGAACTCAACACTTACTTAGGGCTGGTTTCAAATTTGAGTAAATGCAGTTGTCATAGTATCAATGTACCTATAGCATGCTTGATAGCTCATGGTCATAAAAAAGCAGCAAGAACCAGTGTGCAGCGGGCGGCCTGCTCACGTGGCATGAGGTTTGCTGCTGTGAAGTGTTCTGCAGAACTCTATCTGAAGAACAAGTCAGAGACTGGAGATGTTTCTGGCAAACTGGATTCCTGTGCTAGGAGGAGGCAGAAAGTGAAACCCAGGTAGACTAACTGAGCAAAGGCTGCCGCCCTGCAGACTGAAAGCAATGGATTTGTTTACACAGCTGAAGAATATATGAAAATCTCTGTGTAAACATATTGTTCATTAACAAAGTGATGGACAGTCTATTGGAGCTTTGTTCAAATTAAGGTTAAACTGATCCATGGTCTGTTTGCCCGAATGTTGTGGGATCAGTTTTGTTCCCCAATGTATGATAGATTGCAAGTATGCCAGAAAGACTAGATGATGGTTTCATGCTAAATGTCTCCATCTAGTTAAGACCATTAAACTATGTGTCTATTATTTTTTTTTTCTCTGTTATTCTCAGCAACAGATGAGAACTGAATCTATTTATACTAGATAATTTCATTTTTAATTTTGGATACAAAAAACCTTCCAATTATGTAAAATACAGAGTACAGAGCAGAGTCACCATGAGATATTCGTACTCCCTTTGTGATTTATCAAGCATAAGTAAAGGAAAAGAAAGTCTGATCTGTATAATCTTTATCATCACAGAAGAAAGAGCCATAAATAAAACCAAATGTCCTGGAATAAAAACTCCCATCCACAGCAGCTGGCTTTTTCTAGGAAATACAACCCATAGTTAATGATTTAAACTTATAGATTCTAATTCTAAAGCAAAGTTTTCTTGGCTTTAGAACATAATTAATAATTAAAAACATATACTATACTTTTTTTCATACTGGTATTGAAGAAATATATAATCCTCTATACACACAAAAATTATATGCTTATATTTCAGTAACTTATATGTAGTTCTGTAAGAAGTTTTAAATATTTTTAATCCCAAGTTTATCAATTTTGGATGGTTCTTTCTTGGCTTAATACATATAGGACAGAATTCATTTTCTAATATGCATCTAGTTAAACATATAATGCAATAAAGGAAATGCAAATGAAAGTAAAACTGTCAGATCATTTGAATAAGTCTGGAAAGGTGCTAAAATACCTTTGATTCAAAGATAGCAAATGAAACGCTGTTTGTAAAATCAAATTGTTACTTTAATGGGGAATTAAATTAAACTGTACTTTTCTGGAAACTCAGTAATTTAATGTACACATTTACTAAAGAAGAATTATTTATCAGGAATTTTGAAGATTTATCTGAGAATGAGGAGAAGATGAGAAAAATAAACAAGAGAAAAGATGAACAGACAAAAGGAACATATGGAAGAACTTGAGATAGCACAGGCATACGGAAATACAGAGGAAAAAAATCCCTAATTTATTATTATTGCTGTTATGCATTAGTCTATACAACACATTGACTAACCACATATTTTAAAGCTCCCATCACTGAACTGTGGGGGTGGCACATCATGTCCAAGTCCTACCTGAACAGGTATCTAGGAAATAAAATGCTGTGAGCGCTGGACAGCAATTTGCTCTGCCTTTTCTCCTGTACTGTCTGACCCTGTGTGTGGAAAAGCTCATTAGGCATCTCTCAGTGTAGGTCAAACACTTCCCAGGTATATTTTAGCTGCTTGTGCGTGCCCAGAAATGTTTATTCTTGGTGACAACCTCCATCTACTGCTCTGTTGCAGTTCAGGTTTAGGAAATCAGACTTGGCCTGGGTTGCGAAATTGGGAAGTTCAAATATATTTGGAACAGCTACATCAGTCCGGTGCTGATCTCACCCTCCATCTGCTGCATAAGAATCTGGGGCTCCAGTATTTATGCAGAAAGCAGAAGACAATGGATTCTAGTTTCTGTTCAGCTTAGAAAGACTGAAGCTTCATCTCCCAAGTTCAGGAGTGCAACCCAAGTATTAAACATAAGCATCTCTCTCTACTGACTATATTGATAATTTAGACCACTAAATCAGACAGACTGGCTTATCTCCTCCCCAGATCATGCACCTAAAACTTCAGTGAGGCAGTGTCCAAAATAGTTATTTCCAACAGACAGAGCAAATGCCAGACAAAATGATTACAGATAAACATCCTAGGCTCTGCTGAGAGGCTTTGAAGAAATGGAGTTCTTATTTCTGGAAGATCAATAGTAATAACAGTCCAAATATTTCAACTTGGCAGGATGAAAAATCCTTGCCTTTTGGACAACGATACTCTCTAGAAAGGACTCTCTATCTTGTTCATTAATGTGGTATCCTGGAGCTTGCAGGAGTCAAAAACAACCAAGAGGGAAAGGCAAGAAGAGGCTGAAAGTCAGGTGAGTTTCTTCAGCCTCACTATTTCTGAGAAGTTACTAGAAGAGGAACCTTTCGTTTCCGTTTGCCTGGCTACTCCTCTAGCCCTCAATCTGGCATCACACTGGCCATTTCCTCCTGACTCACCAAAGCGCTTTGCCACCCTCTCTTCAGGCATGTTAAATGGTCCCATGCAACTCCAAGGGGACACACGTAAGGGGCACCAGATCGGTGGCAATGCACGACCAGTGCACTGGCAGTAAGAGAACTATTTAAACCACTTAAGTTAGCATGTGGAAATCACACTCCAGGCAAGAAGGACACCAGCAGAGATGGATTAGCCAGGGTAGTCACCAGGCATCACCTTTGCTCAAATCAAGTGTAATTGCCACAGTTGTCCCACAGCCCATCAACCTGGGCAACCACTGTGTGCAGAGTGTGTTACAAGCAGAGGCAGAGGACGGTCGTGCTGCCAGATTTCCGGAGTGCAGGCACAACTTGCAGGGAAACCAGCAGGGAAGGTTTGGCACAAATGCTCTTGGACTCTCCACAGAGTGATTAATTTGATGCCTTTGGTGGCGTGGAGTCTTACGTTATTAGTTATGAAATGTGTTAATTAATCAGAGAGACATAATTGTATGGATGACTTGCAGCAATTTTTTAGGTGAATCTTTGGTGTGTTGATGAAATTAATGACTGCTTTCAAAGAAATATCTGTGCAATTTCACTGATTTTAGTGGGATAAGCATATACGTTTGAGCCTTCACATTAAACATCCAAGGCAGTTCTAGCACACTGTCTCCCTTTTGAAAAGATAACTTTAAGTTAACTTTTAATCTAACAATATTGGACTATTGTACAATATTTTCTTCTTTTTTCTATTATAAATTTTCACTTGATCCTAGACAAAGCATGTTGAATGCTGAAATCTACTACTGCACAATACAATATACTTGAAAAGCGGAATGTTCTTGCAGGATATTATTAAGTTTTAGATATACTACAGGATAAAATTGCATTTTGTTGACCAATATTTTATATCAGTGGAAAATGATCAATATGGTTTTATTTCTATTTGTATAGCTAGTTAGTATAAGCCTACTCAATCCCCTCACAAGCTTTCATTGACTTTTACCTTTCATGCATATAGTTGACTCCAAGTAACAGCTGTATAAACCATTCCATTATTTGTTTCTGAGTGAATATTTTCCCAGATTCTTTATACTCTTGTATTTTAAAGTCCAGATCACCACCCTGAAAAACACCAAAACATATTTGTAAATTTAAAATATGGTTTTTTTTTAAATGTTTCTCCTTTACTAAGTTATAGCATTCCATTTTCTTCAGTCTTCAGGCTTTATAACCCATATTCTGTAAAATTAATGCATGCACATGAATTCTGAACTCTGACAAGCACCAAATGCTTATAGAACTGAAGATCAAAATGACATCAAGCAGTCTAGCTACACAGAAGTATGACAGGCTTTTTTTAGAAGTTACACAAAATCACTGAAGTCTTCAGCTGTTCTCACTTCATGTCACCCAACTTAGGTATCTGTACCTGAGCTAGTCATTTCAAATGCCCTTTACAGTTAATGCAAAGGAACAGGCACTCATGAAGTGCCATTTATCTCTTTCATTTAGATGTCCATCTTAGGAAGAGAGATGGATCATGCTGTAGTAATATTGTTTCTCAATCAAGACTTAGAATGAGGGTCTATATTGAATAGTTCCTATGTAGACACTTAATTGAATAAATTTCCCCCTTGGTCTGAACAAGTTTGCAAATTCCGGAAATAATTTCTACTTATTTAAGTCAAAAGATACACAGTCAAGATAACCTCTCATCAATTATACAGAAATATGCATATGAGAATCAAAGCTTATTTTTCTAAAAAAAAGAAACAGATAGTTGCCATCTTGTTCAATTAGTTCATAATATGAATGGATTTTGCCCCCAAGAAAGCACCTCAGGTGAGGTAACTAACCCCAGAGCAAAGGGGGCCGTGATTCTTATCTACACTCTCAGTGATTAATGACCTTACATTCATAGCTTATTCTCCATAAATCATTATTTTTACATTATACATCCTGCATAAAATCAGAAGTTTTGTGTGTCACATACAAGAAAATAGTTTAACCTCTACCACTGTGGCAAAAGTATAGACTAGAGATCACCAGTTATGGGAATTCTGTGTGAATAAGCCAGTTCCCTCCATCAGCCCCTCCACTGATCACTCTGAACATTTTATGGCCTCTTCATGGCTCCTTGTTCTTTTTTTTCCAAGCTCACAGTGCTCCATACTGCAACCACATTTTTTACGAAGTGAGTTCTGGCTTTGAAGAAAGGTTGCAACATTTAAGACTGATTGTATTAAAAAAGAAAATACATCTTATCATATATAAATAATTCATTCCCTGATAACGTCCAGCAACCTTGAAATTGAGATGTGTGAATCAACACATTCCCTAGGGAAGGGAACATGGCTTCAAATTTCCATCTGCCTCCCTCCAGCAGCCCAAAGGGAAGTTCTTCTGGGACCTTGGCTCGCTGAACAGCTGCCTCCCCTTTGCAACTCCAACTGTTCAACAGCTTCCCCAGGGCGGCCTGCCACACAGCAGAGAACGGGGAGAAAATGCCTTGCTGGGAACCCCCGTGCAGGGCAACCAGATGGACTGTGCCCGAGCCTCGGCACACACCGTGACAGGAATGACTCACCTATTTCGACTGCTGCTCGGGACCATCGGGAGGCAGCAGCTTTTACCTCCCAAGGCTCCCAGGGGCTGTTTCAATACGTGCCAGCTGGCTGGTGTCCCCAAGCGACCACGGACCATCCCGTACGGAGAGCCGATGCAGCAGGCCGCAAGCACCATTTCTCCTGTTCTATTGTGTCCTCTCTCTCAAACACACATTGCCACAAAAATGCAGAGGAAGGAAGCACAGGAGCTACAGAGTTAGCCCCTGTGGGCACTCTGTTAGATTGGGGGAAATTTCCTCTGCATGGTCTAAGAAGAGCAAAAGCAGCAGAATAAAGTACTACTATAAACTACTACTCAAGCAGAGAAGATTGCTCTCAATGTCCTACAACTAATTTAATCCTCATTTTGTGCTTTAAAAGAAAGCATCATAAAAGACTTGCTGAAATACCACTGCTATGAAACTCTGAAGACGTTTAGTAACACAGTCATCCATTTTGGAAGGTCAGTAAATTGAAGTTCACACAGAAGTTAACAAATGAAACAAGAGGAAATTTCCAAGCTGCAGTTTCTTTTTAAATGTCAAGAGCATCAAACACACCAGTGTGTGTATTTAAAATGGGATTCAAATGCTTAGGTTTTATTACTGATAACACAAATAGGTATTAATTGCTGCAGTTATTCCTTTTTCTCAGATTTCCTTAACGTATGTAAACTCACAACACAGCTGAGACTACACTGAAGAAACAGAAATAATTATTTGGGAGAAAGATGTAGATATACAAACAGATGTCTTTTTTGGTGCATTAAAATAAGAGTTGCATTTAGAGCAACTCTTCTGTTTTAATCTTTTTTTAAATTCTTTTACTGAAGCCCAGTTTATGACATAACATGAAATCCAAGGTTCATGAAGGCATTTTTGCTTGAAAACTGACTTATGTGACAATGTTTGTATTGTCCGTAAGGTGTTGAATTAGGACAACTGCCAAAGAAGCTCAACAAGCTCAAAGCAGAGAAATTGCTTCTGAGAACTTTCTGAGAAAATTTGGCTACAGATGCCAAGCTGAGCAATGGAGCCCTGTGTTCTCCTTTGTTCATGGGGCAGGTTCAGCACTGGGCAGCTGCACTGAGCAGACTTGCTCTGCACTGTTAAAGTAAAAGTGAATGAAAAAGCCACAGCACTTTGGAGAAAACAGAATGAGGGTGAGAGGGCAGTTCTGTTTCCATGCCAACTTAATGTTTTTTCTTTATTTTGAGCCTGCCACAAGAGTACCAATTACTGCAAAGTGTGGTAATTGTTCTATGCAGGAGAAACAGCTAGTGACACATTTTTCTCATTTTCCATTCAAGCAGGATTTAAATAGACATCTCTGGAGAGTTAAAAAAAAAAAAAAAGAAAAAGAAAAAAAAAGAAAAAGGTCCAAATCTCGCTTCTTATAAAGATGCTATAGATAAGCAAACAACAAAAAAGTAAACCTTCCAGAAGTGTTGACTCCGAAACGGAAAAGAAACCTTACAGCACTATGCGAAATCTTACTTGTAAAGCATTCAGAGAGATCTCACTTTTTTTTTTAATTAAACACTGTAGTCAATATTTTGGTAGCTATACTACAGTGTATTATCCTCCCTTAATATTTGTTTCGCCCTCTACAGTCTGATCTTTGTGTCACATGCCTTTCTCCTCTCATACAGCAAACACTGTTCTCAAACCCACCATCCAGATGATCAGGCTTATGCTTCTTGTAATCGCCTCCAAAGCACAAGAAACTTTTCCTATCCTTGTTTACACCAAGTTTCGCACAGTGCCCCGCATATTCCCAATCTCATCCTCTCTGATTTTTCAGTAGTACATATGTGGAACAGACTTTCTGGATCTGGTACCGTGCCTGTGTTTAAGTTTTTCTTGTAATACTAGCTATATCGAATGAAATGAACTTGAATTTAATATTGCTACGTCTCCTTCTCTGATTTGATGGTTCTTCATCTGTGGGATCATTCAATCGAGGGATATTGCTTATTTGAAATATACCTAACAATAACAGATGATATCACAAATAAGAAGTACTTAAAAATAAAATTCAAAGTAATACATTACACAGCCGAGCTAGGTTTCTGTTCAAACTCTGTTTTAGTGCATACATTCCAAAAAATTCCATCCCAGCAATCTACAGATCTCACCTCACAGTATTCAGTGATAATGCAGAAACTATCTCGCTCCACAAAACTTGCATAAAATTTGACAATGGCTGGATGGTCTAATTTGGAGAGCAGTTGTGCCTCTAGATTTGCTCCAACTGTTTCATTTGGCTTTAGATTTCCAACCGAGATTTCCTTTAGAACCTTGCTAGAGGGGAAAAAAATCCTTGTATTAATAAAAGTGGAAAAATGCAGAATCACATAATGCTCATTATTCCCTCATAATTCCTTAAAATGCAAAATAATAATATTAACCAAGTATTTGGCAACATGAAACAATGAGGCAAGTGTAGGTAAACAAAGAGAATGCATTAAAATGCAAATAGGTATGCTGGTCTCCATAGTGACTAGCAACATTTTTGAAGCATTATTTTTAAATGTATTATTTTTCTCACTTCTTCCCTCCCAGACTGTTTTCTTCATGACAGGTTTTCAGTGCTATGGATTACTGTATAATAACAAACATAATTGAAAAATCAAACACAAGTGATCCGAGACCCACCCAGAGCATATGTTCAAGCTTCAAACATGAAGTAAGGAGTCATGAGAAACAATTTGTTTTTGCTGCTTCTGTCAAATGGTCTCCACTGGGGCATGAGAAAAATTACCCCAAACATAACATTTCTGTCACTATTTCTCTGATTACAAAATCAGGACAATGATTTTTTTTTTTTGCTAAGGACTGGCCTGCCTTTCACCTGAACACCGAAGTAAAACGGAACAAAGCTGGATTAGAGCATTGTGATAGAAAACTAACTTGGTCCTTTCAAAGAATTCTGAATGTTCAGGGGCTAACATTTCTTTGGGGAATCTGTACACCTCCTAAGGCTGAAAACATTAAGAGGCTTTTTTTAACATATTCTTCAGGTTCAGCATGTGAATGTGCCAGGGTAGAATCTGCATTCAGACTCAGCTGTACATGTTTGGAGTTGGGGAGTTGACTGCCAACCTGTCCAGGAAAAGAGCTTAGTTCAGGGCAGTATGCAGAAGCATTTTCTACCAAGATTTTCACACTGAAATGTTTTATAAAGCAAGGCACACAGAACAAAAAGGAATACAGTTTCCATATACTTTAACCAGCTGTTGAAGAACGCATCACTAGTCCACTGATCCACATCTGATGGAGCCACTCAAGCCTATTAGAGAACACTGCAGGTACTTCATTGAAACAAAGTGATGAACACATGAAAAGGAAATTCCACTCTGAAATAATGTCTGCATAGTTCTTTTAATAATTTTCCATTCAATAGCACATAGTTGTAAAGCCATGGGAGTTAAACATGACAGCAATAAAACTGCAGTAATTCACTTGATCTAAGGGAAAAAAAAATGTGATTCTTCAGAAGAAAATTTCTTCCCAAATCTCAATCATCAGTTACTGAGTAACAGTGCATTAATTTTTACATAAACTTGCCTAATCCCCATCTGGCAGCATGATGAACAAATATGCAAGTTGATTTGCCAGCACCTCCACAGACAAGGTTCCTACTATTAAGACTGGTAACATCTACTGCAATCTTCTCATCTTCAGCTGACATGGGGACATTATTCCTCCTTCACATAGATCATGTCACAGAACTGACAAACTGAATGAATCCTTGCTAAACAGCACATAATCCAAGTTTCTTATATACCAAAGACATCAATAAAAATCTGAAGTGTGGGGACAGCTTGTCATCTTAGTCACTCAGCAATGCTGATGCTGTCAACAGCTGTCAGACAACAGGACAGGTGTTTTTCTTATTAAAATTCATTCCCAGCAGAACGAATCAAGAAAAGGTACTTTTGTAAATAAGGTGTTGGGTTTTCAGCTACAGAAAACTGATTTATATCCAGAACTGGAACTCATTTGCATCAAGAAAGCAAACTTCTGTTTAATCAAGATTAAGTATATTTGTTCGTCACTGGTAAATACATGCACTGTCTCTGTGGACAAGATTTGATTTTAACATGTCAAATATGAAAAAGACAACAGGAGCTTATGCTTTCTGCAAAGCTTTTTATATATACTTTAGTAAATACATTTTCAATTATATACTTAATAAATTCTGTATTGATTAAGCACTGTCAAATAAGTTATTTCAGGGTCTCAGAAGTTTCACAAAGAAAATGAACATCAGTTTTCAGATCTAAAGCTGGTTCTTTTCTGATAACTTTGGAAGAAGCACTTTTTGACCAAAAAAAAAAAAAAAAAAAGGAATCATTTTTTCAGATTCCTTTGTTCACACGAAGTGCAATGAAGGAGGAAGACTCAACCTGGGTAGAGGAAGATTGGGTCAGAGAGCACCTAAGGAAACTCAATACCCACAAATCCATGGGCCC